ACAATATTCGAATTATATATGTGTTTGATGCTTAAGTGGAAAACGTTTTATTAATTTTACCACTTCAAATATATAAAATTGTGACCATATTACAATCAAAGAATACTAGTACTTAAATTGTGAATGTATTTCTAAAAAAAAAAATCGAAAAATATCCTGACCTGGCACCCATTTACTTTTGGTGTTATTTTAAATATGATATGGATGTAATAAAATGCATGAAAATAATATCATCTCAGTGTATCTTATTTTCTGTTTAAATGACTTGTAACAGGTAAATTAAAAATAAATTTAAAAATAAATTTGCGTGATGGCTACAGATGATCTTCATTATAATCTTATTTCACAATTTCTTAAATATTTGGACCACATGATATAGATAATGAAAATGTATACAATGTCAAAAACGACCCCAAAGTGCGTTTGACCCCAAAGTGTGGTGTTACAAAGCTATGTAGGAGCACATTTGTCTCGGAGCACATTTGTCTTACGTAAGACAGATGCGGTCGCATTTGTCCCACATGAGACAAATGGGACCTCATATGTCTACACCAAAAAACTAATTTGTGTGACAAATGTGCTCCGGTCAAGTTTTTTAAGGGACAAGAAAGCACATTTGTCTCATTCTTTTTAAGGGACAAGAAAGCACATTTGTCTCATGTCATTTTATATGAATTATTTGTAACATATTTTGCTACGGCAGAATTGTGTTTAGGTTCGCCGTAATCGTCAAAAGGTTTGCGAATCTTTTTTTCTAAATCTAAAACCTAAAAACTACCGTGGAACTATTAATTCTAATACCTCTTATTTAAGAAATTTGATCACTGAAACATACGAAATCCCGTTTATGTACCCAGTGGTACAATTGTGAAAGCGCGATGGTACGAAGGTGAAAACACGACGTTCGTACCATCGTGTTTCACCACTGTACGAACGTGAAACAACGATGGCACGATGGTGGAACAACGAAGACACGATAATGACGATAATTGCGATGGTGGAAATACGATGGTACGATAATGAAACTGCGATGGCTCGATATCATTTTGACCATTGTGTCATTGCATCATCGTGATTTTTACTTATGTCCAAATGTAACACCGTAATCGAGCGATATTTGACCGATACAATATTGTGAGTCGTTTCGCATCTCGCCGGAATTTCGCGTCTCGCTTCGCATCTCGTACGTCGACGCGAGACAAGAAAATAATTTGAGGCCAAATACCGCTAAATAGTATTTATAAAACTGACGAAAAGAGTTAAAACATAGCTAGACCAATTTTAGAGAACAATTTTTATCTAATTGTAAAGAGTTATGATAAAACTGATATAAAATGATGAGAAAAGTAGGGGTCATGTATCTTCTAAGAACATTTTCTAGAATCACATGTGCAACTGTAAAATCAGTTTAAAATCACACTGCTGTGATGTGGAAGAACCACCAATACTAAAATTGAAATTCACTTTATCAAGTACAACATTTGCCCGCATATTTTCAACCAAAATGTTACAAAAATATTCATGATGATATTTAAACAGAAAACAGCTTAAATTTAGACGTCTATTACCGAGAGACACGAAAATCGAAATTCCGGAAAACATGAAATGGAGGCACGATATTATATCGTGAAATATGTGGTACGGGATACTTCGACATTGCAAGATCTTGTGTTACGATATCGTGCCTCGCTTCGTATGTCGTCGGAATGTCGCGTCTCGTCCGATTCTGCGAGACCTGATATCATAATTATGGCATTACCTGGATTCATTTAGGAACTCATGCACGTTGTAAGTGCTTTTTCAATGGCGGATCTAAAAGCAGCAGTTCTCGGAAAATGGCGATATTTATATATATATATTACATTCTGATGAACACAAAATACGTGTGGTGTGGTCTTTTCATTTTCTTCCTCAGATCATTTAAGCGCCTCCGTGGCCGAATGATTTCAAAACCCCTTGTTCCTAACCGCAGTAGGTTCAACACTCAATCGGGGCGTCGAACTATACAGGCGAGGAAGCCCGTCCAGGGTCCAAATGGAGAATACCTATCCGCGTGCGCACGTAAAATGTATCGCGTGTGCACACAATACTTATCCCTTTAGAACATAATAGCTATCGCGTGCGTACGTAATAGTATCGCGTGGCCAGGTAATAGTTATCGCATGCGCACGTAAAAAATAAAAAAAATTATATGTTCCCTTTATGCCGCCGTAGAAACTACCTTGTTGTTGCTTAGAATATATCTTAAATCATTTAAAAAAACCTTTCAGCATCGGAATGAAACGTGTACCAATAAATAACGATAAGAATGGTTTTGCTGTATATGTGTTTGGGTTCTGGATACTGCATTTGCAGAAACTTTCACTGTGACACGCAGAAGAGGGATATTCTTTAAGGTAATATATGACTCCAATGCAGCGGCAGGAAGTTATTGATTGACCGGAAGTGACATAAAAACGGTATTATAGAAAATACAGAAAACCCATCTGCCTTTTCGGACAATTACAATGTACTAAGCAGAAACAGTTTTCTTTTTAAGTAGAATTTTATGGAAGAATGTGAGACAAATGTTCTTCGAGTGTCCTTTCTATTGTATGTCGAACACATCCGTCTCATATCCAGTTTCTCGCAAATATGAATGTTTACAAGCACATCTGTCACACCTCGTGAGACAAATGTGCTCCGAGACAAATGTGCTCCTACAAAGCTATTCCTATAATCAAAAATGATAATTTAAACTCTGATAACCAAACTGTTAAAATGTCCGTAATTTTCTTATTCTATAAAATTAGAAAGTGTCCACTGTTTGAGATGTCATTTTATAAATTTATATCTACATTTACATACATGTAATGCAATTGTACGGCTTTGAAAGTATTTATGTGCTTCAATTGACAAATATACCGTTTATTTAAATTTTAATGCGTTTGGAGGTCCATATCCCAAGTTTCTGTAAATGAGACGCCAACATTAGACTGCTTATGTAGTCAGTTTTTGCATGCCCTACTGTAGTATGTCACAAATTTCTTTAATTAATACCGTGTTGCATGCATTAGATCATTACTTAATAATCAAAACCAACATTGATTGCAACATATTATTAATATTGGACATTTTATTCTGTTTATGTACAATATTCATGTCTGTTGAACTATAGAGAGATTCCATGTTACAACCAAAAGTCTTTGGCAAAACGAACAACATAATTTTACCGTTAAATTTCATATAGATTATTTACTCCAAGAGATATAGCTTTATACCCTTAACAAGTACAGGGGCAACGCGCTGTATTACAATTATCACACGCAATTCATTTAATTGATTTTTACTATGTAACATGTGCTTTAAGACATTATAGACGGCGGCTATTAGATATACATGTACATTTGTCCCTTTAGCAATGTGGAAAATTTTAGTTTTGGTTTTGTTTATTTGTTTTCGTTTTAACAAAATTACACTGTTTTCAGATTCTCTGATAAAAATAGCTTTTCTGATGTTAAACATGTCACCGAGCTTTAAGGAATTAAAATAAACGTTCAAATTAAGTAATAAGTAAGTGCATGTTTGAATATAGTATTATTTTTATTTTTATCATTTGTTTAATTAACCTAATAAATGACGTGTCAATGTGCCAGTTTATATTCTAATGATTGAAGTAGGACAGGTCGTTTCCCATTCTATGTAAATTATATTGATGTTCTAATTTCTGACCCCCTAGATTATGATTTTGTTATTCCCCCCGTTTTTATGAACACAGGAAATTATAATTTGTAACGTTTTGAAAAATATTCAACTGTAATAGAGAACAATTTTCAAGGCTGATTTTGTACATTACTTACATTTAGCGACAGCTTTGATGTGCAGCATCAGCATTTAATTTGTTTATTACTGCAATGCTCATTTGTAAATAATAATTGTGGTATTTCTCTAATTTTATTAAGTATTTGCAAATTAGTATTATCATTATTGGCTTCCCATAAACAGTGTAGCAATACCACGTGACCTGGACGTCATTTTCGGCATCATTTCCAAGACAAATATTGCTCGATTCGAAAAGGAAAATAGCCGTAAGTATGTTATTTCTGCGCCGATTTCTTTGGGAAATGCACCATTCTTCGGAGAAAAATATAAGCTTGCCATAGAATAGGTTTTTCCTTCAGTATATGAGCCGTTTTATCAAACACTTTGTATAACCTTGAAAGTTGCTTGTATACGAGCGGACTTCAGTTGCAAGCTATTGCGTTTTCTTGTGTTATCTGATCTACGCGATGATTTAAAAGTCGTGGTTACATCAACCGGGTGTACTGAAGGCAAAATCCTACTTAAATATGTTTATATTGCAATTATTTATGGCGTAAATCTGAACTTTTTCTTCAATTGACAATTAGCTATTGCACCAGTTCCAAGCCAAAAATTTGGACTACAGTTTAAAGCAGTTTTCAGAATTGGTTACAAATGCGAAGAAACATGAATTCCGTTCTCTTTCTATAATAACGACTATTCGTTATTTGGGAAACAAATTATGCCTTTGTATGCCCTCGTAAAAATACTGTTACTCGAGGTGTAGTTAAAACAAAGTTATAAACAAGTTATAACTACGCCTCGGGTAACAGTATTTTCCTCGGGATGATATTTTTACTGTTACCCACAAACCCATGTGTTTTTTATAGACTGTTAAGTTATTAAGTTACATATAAGAAATGTGTATAAATTTGCTGCATAAACCAGAAAAACAAATTAGCAAACATTTTCTTGCGGTATTTTTTATAAATTTAGAATATAAATTTTCATTTTCATTCAAACATACAGTTTTTGCTGTCAGATGTTGATATGTTTTACAGTTTTACTATGTCATTATCATTATAAACATTTCGTGTTACTTTTTACGATGTACAAAAGGAACAGAAGACATATTTTGTAAAAGTATTTTACTGTAGTTTTACATTCTTTTCTGTTGTTAATGAAAGCTATTACTATATAATCTTTAAGACTGTTTAGTGATGGCAGAACAACAAGACTTAGTTCAGCAACACAACACTGCTGTTTTAGAGAGCCTTGAAGCAGGAGATTTAGTAGAGTTCAGAAGGCGACTTTACTCACACTGGGCGGTGTTTGTTGGTATTACTTTTTTTTCTTTCGTTTTATTTCTAAGTGCTTGTTATGCCCAATAATTGGAAGACATGTGTTTTTGATAGCGTCCGTCCGTCCTTCCGTCCGAACTTTGTCAGGTCTATAACTTGATTGTGTAATAATTTGTGGCACAAGGGGCTAGTGTGTGATGTGCAACATCTACGTCTGCAGCTTAAAGGGCAATTTAACACTCTGGCTTTAAAGAACTTAATAAATGATACTGCACTGATGTTCATGCACCGCTGTTGCAGCTTAAGGTTGTTGACAAATTGCCTGCAAATATGTATGGCAAATTTAAAGCTGGCAAATTATTTATATTAAATAATCATTCTTTTTCACTTGTAACTCCAAACAAGGTTTTTAAATATTTTAACTCATTTAAATAGAGCTACAGGTCCGAATGATATTCCATCCCGTTTTGTCAAAGATGGTGCATCCATTATAGCAACTCATTGTACATGTTGTCAACTTAACACTGATACAATGTGATGATCTAAAATGTCTAGTGTTGTCCCTCTGTATTAGAAAAGTGACAATCTAATTGGTAATTATACACCTGTTTCAATTTTAAGTATTGTTTCCAAAATGTTTTAGAGTTGTTTATGACCAAGTTGATTATTTTTTTAAGGACAGGGGTTTGTGTTATCAGTTTCAGTCAGGCTTTAGAATCAGTTTGTTACATTACACTTGTTTGATTAATTTAACTGATTGTATTACATTTGAAATGAACAAATGCAGTATTGTATGCATGATACTTTAAGATCTACAATAGGCAGTTGATACAGTTGACTTCTCTATACTGCACAAGAAACTTCAAGCATATGTTATGACATTCTTAAACAGTTTGTGATGAGTTTGTTTCTTAACGATCAAGGTCACGCAAGGCTTTAAAGGTTCATAAATTAATAAATTAAAGGACATCGATAATAATATCAAGTCATCAATTATTTCATCCATCATAACTAGACATACTTATGTGACACATTACGAAAACTTGTTATATTCAAAGCCAAGGCCGACTATTTTGTATTTAATAGATGGTTGGTAAATAATGTCAAAATAGTATATGGATGTTTGTTTCTAGACATACTTTTGTCATTCTTTTGCGGATTTGTTTTTAAAAAATGGGCTAACTAAGAGCATGAGAAATTACTCGTTAATGTTTCTATATTATTGAGAAACATTTGTGATAACCTTGGGTTTGATGCAAGTCAAGGTCATGGTTCCTCTATTGACCCTGCTTGGGTGCGGTGTTGGGACAATTGTTGTCTGTTTCCAACGACAATTCTTGTTAAATCTGTTTGGGGCTGAAGTGGAATGCTAGATATATGCATTTTTTCAAACTTTCTTTAACAAAACTGAAATTGTTACATTCAAAGTAATAAATCTATTGTTCAAGGTCTTTTATGCTTTTTACATTCTCGTGTTACATTTCAGGCAATGAACAAGTCATTCACTTAACAGGTGATGGAGTGTCAAGTGAAAATATCAGCTCTGGTCCTTTGTTTTCAATCTGTGGTATATTTTATATAAATGCTATTGTCCGCGAGGATAACATTTGGGAAGTTGCAGACGGCCGCAAATTCTTCAGAGATAATAGAGTGAGGTATGGTCTTGATCAATATTAGTATAATTACTTAAAATCAGTTACAAGAAATAATAACCAATCATGGTAGTAACAGTATATAAATAACACATGGGTTTGTGGGTAACAGTAAAAATATCATCCCGAGGAAAATACTGTTACCCGAGGCGTAGTTATAATTGTTTAGAACTTTGTTATTCATGAATGTTTTGTTTTCATACTTGAGTACATCTACCGTAATCTTGAACATTGTTCAAAAGAAAAGCAGACCAAACCAAATATGACATTAACTCGAAATTCACATTGGCCTTGAAGGTCAAATGATTGTAATTTCACAACTTTTTTCTCTCTATATTCGTCTATAACACAACAGTCTATGTGACAAGACATATAAAAGAAGACATTGACCTTAATTTTACTTTGACAATAAAGGTTAAATTAGCGAATTTAGCTTAGATTTTTAATACCTTTGTTATTCATGTACGGATTCGATTTATACTTGTACAAAAAAAGTTAAAAAAAAACATTTGACAAAAGCGACATGTTGAATTATTCTGATATTACCATGACGTTAGATGGAGTTTTACCATGAAGGTCAAATTATTGAAATTTGCTTTAATTGTCATAACTTTGTAATATGTTTACGGAGTCGATTTATACTCGAAAAAAAAACATACAGGTAAATGACAAACTTCACATGTTGAAATTATCTAATATGACCTTGACTTTTCTATTTAGATATGTCAAGGTTTTGTGCATGTAAGGACGTCCGACATGACAACGGGACAACATACGGGGACAATGGCATATTAAAATGCCCCGAACCCCTTGAATTAAATCAAGTGCACCAATCTCACAGTCCAGCGACTAACTAGAATGTATGTTTAAAGATATGGTTTGAGTGACTTACACATATTACCAAATTTATGAATTTAATTTTGATCGCAAATGCAAATTGACAAATATACGAAACTTGCATCGTGTAAGTTAAAAAAATCACACATAGTAAAATAAAACTAAACATTTAACATTTTGTTAATTAAAATTAAACTGTCATGTAAAACACCGATAACTTATTTACTCATACATGTCATATAAATCAATTAATAGCTTCCATAAATTATCGCCAATAGTTTTATCTTTTTGGTCAAGAACATGAGTATCATAAATATTAACTTGCTTATCGTATCAGTTTAAATTAATACATGTACACTAGTATCCATGTATCCAAGAAACTTTTTAAATTTTTATAAATCGTTCAATACAATACATCTTGCTTCTCCACAAGTAAGTATTTATGAAAATGAGCTTCTGCCAGTCAGATCAATGAAGTGATCTTTGTCCACGTTATTGTTCTTAGGAAAGAGAGGAGATTTACACTTGACAAGGTCCATAGAATTCATGATATCTGAACTTTGAATCATATCAGTTTTCTATTTTTGAATTCACTTATACATCATTATAGCAAATAAGATTAACATAACATAGTAATTGTATCAGGTTTTTAGAGTTATCTTGTTCTTTACTCCAATCAAAAGCATACATAATACATTATTTGCTTTACACCTCCAAGACATAGGGTTTGCATTATAGGTGTAAGATGTGTAAGATGTATGTATGAATAATTGTATTGTGATATGCTTAGTTCTTTATGTATGCATCAAATAGAAATTTTAAATGTCATTGTGGACTGCCTACGTTCCTTTCTTACCTCTTCCGTTTCGAAGCGAAGTAGTTTCAAGCTATAAAAATGACTGAGTTGGTGCTGTTAAAATGTTGGGATTGTAAAAACATTGAATGTAGTCAATAACCCAAACAGTTCAAGAGTTTACCGTATTAAACCTGGGATACTTGCTTATCGTGATAATATTTAGTTGTAACACAAGGGACATTACTTTAAAAGCTATATAATTAGAGTCATGCCCATTTTAAACAAAACAATTTTTGTTAAAATTGCTTATTAAGTTGAATGATTTCAAAACCATCGAAGGTTATCATATGAAATTTGCTGACCACCATTTGCTAAGTTTACTGGGATGCATATTACTATATAAGCTATACATGTAAGTAGCGTCATATAATTTTCAAAACATGTATTGATACTTTCTTTCTTTTTTGTTTTTATTTTTATTCATTTTTTTTATAAATTATTGTAAGATGAAATGCGTTTTGCCAATCTTAATTTCTTTCTTCATCAAGATCCAAAACAAATTTTGATGCATCGATTCATTAATGGTCACTGGTAAGCAGGCTTCCGTGTACTTCCGTGTTATTTAAGGATTGCAGACATTGCTGAGAGTGAAGTTGGAGAAGCAACCTTTGTATTATTGAAATAATTGAAGATGACTTACAATTACCTTGATAATTGAGTATAGTGTAAATAAGAAGAAAAATCGGTCAAGGATAAACCTGAACTGCCTTTTATCGCAACATTTCTGTATCAACTTTGCCTCCAAACGAAAGGGCATAACGCACGTTAATTACGTTAAAATATTGATAAAACATGAAAATAATCACAGCTTTGTTTTAATTGATATAACAGGAAAATAGAAACTTTATTGCCATATACTATCATTATAAATTCCAAACTAGTTTCGCACCAATCTTTTGTCAGTTTTCTCTCTCTTTTTGTCCCACAAATTTCAGAGCAAAACAAGCATATGTGTACTTTTCATAAGATCATTAATTTTTTCCCTATCATGTATTGTCATTATAACATACTCTAAAGCAATAATGTGTTTTCTGTTAATAATATCATATACAATAGTTTCGCGATTATTTTAGTCATACTTGTATACGTCAATTTTCTGCCGCAAAACTTTAATTTATGACATTACCTGCTAAAACATGTTTTTTATGAACAGATTTTCAAAACTAAAATAAGTATGGTTAAATCTTTCTTAAATACAAATTATATCTATATTATATCGAACAATTATGAAAATTTAAAGTTTTCCCTTCTCCTGAACATTTGAAAATATGCACATAGACTAGTTTCTGCTTGAGCTCTCGATATCAAACTCACCATGTGTTGGCACTTGGGTAACCTATAAAGACTATGTACAGTTATTTGTGCAACTTCTTCTTCAATGTCATAACTAATGAACCACTACAGACTTTTGTAAGTCATTCACTGATTTCGATCATAATAAAAGGTCACTGTCTGAGGCCCATGGCTTAATCATCTATTTTGACAGAATAAAATGGCCTGAAGTGTACTGAATAATTTCTTGGTTAACATTTTGCATGTAACGTTTGCCTTCAAAACCACTGAAGGCGTTAACTTGCATTTTATACATTTTATAAAATTCTTAGGTCAAATACAGCTACCAACAATATAGAACATGATCAGACTGACTTATATGCCTGGTTACAGGCTTGTCACTTTTAGTGCAAGCGGATTAAGAGTCAACAAAGTTTTTCTTTTCATTAATAGTCCTTTCACAGCTGAGGAGATTGTAAGAAGAGCTAGGGCTAGACTGGGGGACATTCGCTTTCATGTTTTATGGAGTAACTGTGAACATTTTGCATCCTACTGTAGATATGATACTCATCAAAGTGACCAGGCGGTAAGTTATAGTACTGAAATTTAATCTTGTAATAAAGCATCCCGAATTGAAAACATAATTTCTTGTTTTCTTGGATGAATTTAACTTTAAGTCTAATGCCCTGCACCTCCAACACAAATACTTATTGCATGATTTCTTGATTAAACTTGGACCAAATTTTGAATCAATTTTTTTGAAAACAGAGTGAAAATATGCTTTGCAATTCCTTGATAAATATACATATATGATATATAATTATGCATACCTGCATTTTGCGTGGACCATGACAAAGACCTGCTTGATTTAACGAAAAATAATCGTCTATTTCATTGAGATGCAGGTCTGTCAGTCTGTAAAAATATGCGATCTATCTTTCTTCATTCTATAGGCAAGCACATTCATGCTTAATTTACAAACTTTCAGTTTTCAAAATTTTGAAATTTATATCATTTGATATAAGTTTACTTGTTTTTGATGGTCAAAATATGATGATAAAAGCTAAGATTGATGTATCTTATTTTCTACCATCATTAGCTCAACGTTAAAGCTTCTGTTTTGTGATATAATATCAGTATTGTGCCATTCTTCATGATCAATAATGTTTAATAATAATCATTAGGTAACACTCTACAAAAGGTACATAGATATACAATATTGTTTCAGTTTTCCATGGGCTAAAAAGACTTACAATGAAATCTTTAAAAATCTTCAACTCAGAAATTCCATTGTCTAAAATTAAATATTTCGCACCGACTGATCACTTTGTTTCCAGATTTGTATGGTCCTCATCAAAATAGCCCATGTTATTTTCATCCCCGAAAGTTTAAAACAATGTGCTCCCACACACCCCTATCTCTTAAAAGGCCATTTACTTTTAGAAAATACAAATGCAGACTTTAAATAATCCCTTACTTTTCATTGACTTGTATAGGATATAGCCTATAAAATATTTTTCCCATTTACAACAATGTTTATAGATTCGATATCTAAAACAAAGCATCATTTTAAAAAAAATAGTTTATTTTATTTTCCGAAAAACACGTCTTTTCTGATGTCAACGTAAAAGATGTACTCGATTGAAAAGAGCTTTGTTTCATGTTAAACCCTCATAAATAAAATTAATGCTATCGGGTCCACTACACTGCGTTGTAATCGAATCAACAACGTGAGCATTGTAATAATATTTTGTCAATTCTTTAATAAGCAGACAATATTTAACAATTTCAAAAAATTCAAAATAGATATTTTTTAAGTTTCATACATAGTTACGATGCAATGTAATGTCAGTACATACGACACAATGTAATGTCAGTGTATTTAGGGATAGTTTTGCACATATTTGTACACGTTTAAATCAAAATAAGTGAAAAGTGACGTCCACTCTTCAAACTGTACATGATTGTTTCCCTAACTGGCACCGTGTGCGTGTAACAAGTTGGACGAGCACATATGTGGGCTACTGTCTCACAGAGCATTTCCAGTAAAACATAAAGCATTATTCAGTCATAAACTAGTCGAGAAATGCAAACGGCATTTTTTTCAGGGCTTCTGTGATGAATACTCCATAACTGCTGCGGTGGGCGAAAGCTATGGCCAGTATTATTTTAGGGTTTTTTAAGAACTATTATAACTCATGCTATCAAGTTCAAAATTTGCCATTTCCAGAATGTCATTTAGATAGCATTTAAATAAGAAAATGAAGATCAGCAAGGCAAAGCAACGTTCAGGAGACCGTTCCACCACAATATCCAATAGCATCTACACCCGAATGGGCACTAAAATGGGCAATGACAAGCTGTCAAAGTCTTGTTGCAGAAAACAGTTTTAATGATTTGTTTTAACTATTCTGAATCTAGCATGACGTAGTGGACTTTTAGAAATTTTAAAGTCCTACTCAACCTGGTGTCAAAAATTTCATGCCCCTGAAGTCATGTTTGCTACATAACATTTTATAAACAGGTAACTCTACATTTCAATGCCTCCTGCTTAATTACTCTTATACAGCATGTGCCATTTTCCTGAGAAGGTCTACAACAGTCATCGTCATATAACCATAGTGTCAGCTTTTGCTCAGCTCCCTTAAGTATCATGAATATCATAGAATAAGATCTTGGTTAAAACTACATCCACTTAGAGCTTAGGACTTTGCCATGATGTATTGTTTAGCGAACCTCTATATCATGACATTATTGTTAAAAATGGTGCCCATCCTAATGTGAACTATTGCCTTGCTGCACTGAATTGTTTTTAAACTTTTCTGGCAATGAATTTAAGGTGAGCAGTCTAGGGCAGTTATGAACTTTTAAATAATATAATAAGATGTAAAACAATTCCCATTGACATGCAATTGTAATTTATCAATTTATTATTTCTGTATATTATAGGTATTTGTTGGTAGATCTATACTTGTAGGAGGTATTCTCGCTTTCGCTGTCAGTTTATATCGTGTAGTGCGAGAGTGAACAGAGACACTTTGTGATGTGGCATTTCTTTATTACAAACAAATTACAATCTAAGTTCGTACGCTCAACTCAACTATCTTCTTCAACTGGATTGCCCAGCTTTTATATCATATGGCAACAAAACATTTTGTTATAACGATTATTCATGTACTTACTTATAGTTGTAAATAGGAACTTTGATTAAACATCCTGACATATTAACCAACCAATGTGCATTTCTGTTATTTATATACTCTCATATTGTCAAATAACACAATTTAAATCTAATAGTAATGTTATGGTTAACGTTCCCGTTATGAAATAAAATATCTCGCCCTAAAAACTGTGTGCGACATTTGACTCATAAATATATATGATGATTTACTACATATGTAGACACATCATGAAGAACGTCACGAAATATGATTCTTGCCATAGGTTGCAGACTGCATAAACAAGTTATACATTTTAGAAGTAGTAGAAGACAACCATTAGAACACAATTATTTTAATGAAAAGCATAAAAAATACGAACTTTTTTAAGAGGAAAAAGACATAAAAACCTTACCTTTAGAAGATAACGCAAAATAATTTAGACTTTTACGTGCTTTGGGGATAAAATTCTTATTTTCAGAAAAGGAGGCATTAAATATTTGAATTTTCTTAAAATTGTTCAGCAAAATAAGTTAATGTGCATTTTTAATGTTTGTGAAATAATACTAAAGAATATAATATGTCTTTGTTGCAATTCTAATTGCATTCGGTCTTAAAGATGTCAAAAGTTTAATTTTTAATCCATTTGCGCAAAACGGAGGGTGAATTATAGGAATGGCCTCCGTCTGTCAGTCAATCCGTTCTTCCGCTTGTCCGTCCGTAACACTTTCGTGTTCGCTCCATACCTTTTAAACTGCTGTAAAATAATTTGATTATAAATTGTTATAAGTGATCAACCTTATGAGACGATGTGCAAATAATAATGTACAATAATTGGGTTGCTATCCCAAAGGTCAAAGTCAAACTTAGAAAGTCTAAATTCCGTGTCCGCTCCATAACATTCAACTGCAATGTTTTTAGAATAACTTTGCAGAATAAATAACCATTATGAAAAGATATGCAGAGCACAACAACAAAGTCACTACCCACACGGTCAATGTCACCCTCAAAGGTCCAATGTTAAAACATCTAGTATGTTTCGTGTCCGCTCTGTAACTTATTAACAATAAAGGTTTTTAAATGACTTGGCAGAAATGACCACCATGACATAATCTGTAAAGCGCAACATCTAGGTTGTTACTGCCAATATACATCCAGGTTGCTACCCCGATGGTCAAGGTCACATTTAAAGGTCAAATGATAAAGTCCACATTTTCTTGTTCGCTCCTTAACTTCTAAACTACTGAAATTTTTTAGAAATGATTTCACAAATGGTTATCATAATGACATGATGCGTGGAGTGCAATATTCAGGTCGTTACCCCAAGGTCTAGATCACACATAAAGGTCAAATGTTATAAGTCAACAATTTTGTGTTTTCTTCATAACATTTTAACTACTGATTTTAATTTGAATTACTAGTCCATTTGTTAATTGGCACAAACGATCACTATCGTCACCTACAGAGAGCACCATTCAGATGGCTACCCAAAGGTCAATGTTATAACATAACCAGCACTATTGTAATTCCCACCTTAATGGTTTGTAAAACATGAAAACTATAACAAAAAATACATTAGAGTAACAATAAAAGTATTCTAAATTAAAACAGAAACAGAGTAACAATATAGTATTCTAAATTAAAACAGGACATATCACTAGAGCCCACGGAACAGCAATTTTGCGTAAAGCATGATGCAACCAAATAAGTAAGAAACTTGTCAATATATGAAGTCTAACCCGTGATTACTAAGACCTTGACCTATAAATTCAAACACAATAAGATGATTTACAAAGGTTTCAACGCTCTAGATATGGAAGATAATCACTGATAATAGGTCAATAACTGAATCAGACTTTCGTGATGAGCAAATATGCTTATGATATGCATGGCACAACGACAAGGTCGTGGTTGGTTAATGGTCAAGAAGTACACAGTCATACCCGCTGCGAAAGGAATTTAGCTGTCCTTCAGATTGCATTGAATTTAATTTATTTGAACAAATACGAAATATTAACAAAGTCCACGAATCTTTGGATAACACCTCGTATATCTGAATTTAATGTATACTTGTGCATATATACAATCCAGATATCATTACTTATAGTATTAATACACTTCTAATATTACATGTATATATTTCTTTATTTATATAAAACTTCTTTTTGTTTTAATTATATAATTCTGTAAAATAGTGTTTGAAGTATTGTACAAAATACCATGAATTGTTAAATACTGTTATTATATATGATTTTTGTTATGATTTATATCGAAATGTAATTCGTTTTTATTTTTTCTTCATCGATGCAGCTATTTTGCGGAATTAAATTGGGTAACCGTCATTTTTGTGGGTTTTTATGGATATTATTTAAAGATTTATGAATTTGTTATACTGTTGTTTATCTTATTAAAAGAAAACATTTTGTAACTGATATTTGATACATATATTTTTTAAAATATTTATTTTAAAGTTTATTCAGTATGGTATTTTATTTTTTGCTAATTAGATAGGTAAATATTTTGTACCATTTTAAACCTGTTTCATCTAAAAAAATTCTATTATTAGTAATGGATAGCTTACTAAGCGAAAATTAACTAACATTAAGATATTCATGTTGTCATCTTAGTGCAGTAAAATGTTAAGTCTTTGTAAATTTATAAGTTCCTTTAACTTATGAGAGCTTGGGTGGTTAACATAGTATATTTGAATATATTTCTTTCTATCATTAGAAAATGTGTGCATTCAAAAAGATAATGCACACATAAAGTAATACTGTGAATAAACCACAATTATCTCCCTTTGTCATCTTCCAAATTTCAGCTAATATAAATTTGACTATAATACATGTTATAAAGATAATGTAAGTGACAAGTAGCTGTATTAATTTTGTGATGCTTTTCAGATGTCTGAAGTAACTACTTAAACATAGGCTATTATTTGTCAAGTATGATAATTGTTAATTGGTAAAAAAAGTTGTTTTCTTCTGTTGTCATTTATTTTAATATTGTACATGGAAGCAAATTGAGGTTAGTTTGTAGAATTTTTATACTTAGGATCTCAAATGGGATGTTTCCATTTTGACACAGAAGTGCTTTTATTTTTATTTCCTAAATGTTTTAAAATTTTTGTTATTGCTGATTAATATCATGATATTTTTTTTATTGTGTAAATTTTGTGTTTAAGATGGCATTTGTTGATTAATATCATGGTAATTTTTTATTGTGTAAATTTTATGTTTAAGATGGCATGTTCAACTCACAATTGATATTTACTGGAAATAATTACTTTATTATGGTAGTATGTGCTTTGTTGTTTCTTCAAATTGAGACATATGGAAACCCTTATATTATGCCCATTACAAAATATGCTTTGTTAGTACCATCCTATTACCTTTATTGAAATCTTACAAAAGCATAATTATCTTTAGCCCCTTTATCTTTTAATGTAGTACTGCATGTTTTTCATTCTTAAACTTTATAGAAAAAAGCTTGCTATTTCATTCTGAAATTATAAAGTGAAAGTAATGCATTAGCATTGTTAGACATGGCACTTGCTAGCCCCCATTCTTATATCTGATTTATTTACATAAATAGATTTTTAACATAAGTTTTAATATATCTTTAAACAGTCTGTATGACCTGTTATGTTGTGATATAAAGATTCTGTGATGTCTTAAATTGTTTATCTTAATATGGAACAGATTTTTGCATTTGTATTTGTTGTATATTATTTTTTTACCTTTTCTGAGCATTTAAGGGTCATCATGACCCTCTTGTTATTTACAGAGTAATTGTTTTCTATTTAAGTAGCAATATTTAATCAATATGTATATGGAGGATATCAAATTTTGTGAACAGTCAATGAAATTTAAGCCGTGTTATGTTACTATAAAGCATAGATAAGTCATTAGGTGATTATAGGGGAAAAAGCACTGTCTTGCTACTATTCTTTTAGCAACTGCACGTTCATGGGTGTTTCTGCTATACAGATTATGTAGTGAACTTCAATTTTTTTCCTAAACCCACAAGTCTGGTTTCAAACAAACCTTAGGGCTCAGGACTTTCAATTATGTTTGGCGACTAAGATAAATAATTGAACAAAACTGATAAAATCTTTTTCTCGAGAATCACAATGCTTACAGCTTTGTGATTTTACATGCAGCATTACCTAGGTTTAATAAATCACAGACCCTGTGGTCACATTAACTTTAAAAATCATCTTCAGGACTGCTAGGTTTAGTGCTTTGACATTTTGCATCAGATATTGTCTTGTTAATCTCAACAAAGAATCTTTGAAACATGGACCATAGGGCCAAATCGTCCCCATATTTTGTGCTTATTGTGCATGTATATGAGATACTTGTTGTATTTTAAAGAGAAACTTGTACTTTGACATTTTGCATGTAGCAATACCTAGTACACCTGTACACCTGTACAAAGTTTGTTTAGATCAAGACCTTAGGAATCAAGTTTGTCAACCCCTGATGTCAAAAGGACAAAGTAATAAACCTTTTTATCTTGATAATTCAGATACATCCAACTTATGATACACCTGAACAACGTTTTTCATTTTATGATATTTTACTTTGAGCCCAATATGAACGTTGTGGTCAAAGGGAAAATTTATTTATATTTAAAAATGATGTACATGTACTTTGTTATGAAGGCCAGATATTCATTTGACATGCTTAATAACAGCCTAACTTATATTCAGTATTGACCATTAGATCTACTGGTCAATGATCAAGTGTTCAAGTCTTCATAACTTATTGGTTTATACAGTGAAATTTGTATTTTATTTATAGATACATATGATAACCATTTATTTTGTTTCACATGCTGAAATATTTCCATTGAGTTCTATTTGAG